CTGAAGGCGAAGACGACCATCCAAGCTGAAAACTTTACTTTGTCCGAGGCTAAGACTATTACATCGTCTAAGCTGAAGGCTATAATTTGTTCAAGACGAAGACCAACAAAGTCTATTATACAATCTAACTTGAGGATTTTACTTCACCATCCAACATTTGACCTTTTGGCGCAAAGGAACGAAAACTCGTCCTCATTTGGAGATACATGAATCAGATATTATGAAGAATGATTTATTTTTTTTTTTCAAAAAGCTGTCCACCAAGAATGTCTCTTCAACTTCAATCTTCACAGGTAATTTTGTGATCTCCTTTATAATAAATATGTTTCTCCTTCTCTTTCTTTTCTTTGCAAATAGGAGAAGAAATCAATCCCAAAGATACTATTTCAGTAAAGATAACCTCACAGTCGAAGAATCCTTTCTACATTTCAACTTGAAACATGGCAGACTTGAAGACTTGACAGATTAGAAGACTTCGAGTTAAAGATTTAGTGGATTTGAAGACTTTAACTTGATGATTCAACCTTCAACTTGAAGATTCAGAGGGATTTAACAATTCAACTTTAAGACCGACAAACTTGAAGATCAACGAACTTGAAGATTTCAACTTTGAGACTTGGAGGGCCTAAATATTTCAACTTGAAGATCAATGGATTTGAAGACTCAACTTGAAGGCCGACGGGCTTGAAGACTGAAACTTGAAGACTTCAACTTTGAGACTTGGAGGGCCTAAATATTTCAACTTGAAGATCAACGGATTTGAAGACTTCAACTTGAAGACCGACGGGCTTGAGGACTGAAACTTGAATACACTTGAAGGTTTGGCGAACCTGAAGACAGAGAATCCAGGGACTTTAATGCAAATAATTGACATCCTTCTAAAATCGGCTCATGGAAGATATCAATTTTTCGAGGAGGGTTGCCCCCTTTAAATCAAACGAGATCAAAGTTCAACATGAGGATGATATTTCAGCTTGATCTTGCATTTCTTCATACTCCATTTGAACAACAACTGGGGCAATATGTATCTTTTGAACTTATGCGACTGAACTTAGAATGACACTCTAAGCTGCCTACGTACCCCGGTGAAGAGGATCAAGTCGTACCGTAGTTCAGACTGGGTGATTTTTCTTTTTATATGTCTTAACTTTTGCCTAGGCCGCCTCTTTCGAAGTTTTCAACCTAGCGGACTCTTTTTTTTTTTTTTTTTTTTTTTTTTATGTCCTAACTTTTGCCTAGGCTGCCTCTTTCGAGGTTTTCAACCTAGCAGACCTTCTTTTTTATATGTCCTAACTTTTGCCTAGGCTATCTCTTTCGAGGTCTTCAACCTAGCGGACTTTTTTTTTTATATGTCCTAACTTTTGNTTTGGGCCGTGCACAGTTTATACTCTTGCGGGCCAGGAGTGTAGCAACGTGCAGTTTAGGCTCATGCATCAAGGAGCATCATGACTTGCAGTTTAGGCTCGTACGTCGAGGAGCGGCATGTTGCAACTTCATGCATAATACTTCTTCAAAAACTTGTCGTTGATAGGGCCGATTCTCATACCATCTGCATCAACCAGCTTGTAAACCCCACTTGAATAGGCTTCTTGTACGACATATGGCCCATCCCATGTTGTAGTGAACTTCGCTACAGGTTTATGGGAAGTAATTATGGGTCTCCGTACGGCAAGGACTTGATATGCATATTATCCAAGGCATTTTTTTTCAAACGAGGTATCATGGGATATAATTCACTTGATTGACACAAGAAAATCAGGTGTACATATATTCTTTCGTTGAACCTTCTATCTTAACTTGATGGCTTAATGGGAGTAAGTCCTCTATGTCAAATTGAGGTCTTTGATGGAATGATGATAGGTTCTTTAATAAGAGCCTAAGTATTCAAGTTAAAGACTCTGATTTCAAGCCAAGTTGATTTTTTTAAGTTTGTTACATCATCAATTTGAAGTGTTCAAACCGGCTAGTTCTTTAAATTAAAGTCTGCAAGCATGGCAAGGCTTCAAATCCATAAAGCACTAAAAAGGGGGTCAAGAACAAAGGGGAACATCAATGAGAACACATAATATAAAGTGAAGCAAAAGGAGTTTTATTGCTGATGGGAACATCTACTAAACAATCAAATGCAAGAAGAAAAGGAAAAGGAACAAATAAAGCAGTGTTTATAGCCTAATCTAAGCATAACTTGTAGTTGGCCAAATCATTGAGCATAGCTTCCAAGTATTTCTTCTTCTTATCCAAATCAGCCAAGTCATCAGCAGTCAACAAGGCAGTGCAGCATGCGTCGTACTCCTTTCTAGCAGTTGAGGCTCCCAACTTGGCTTCTTCAGCTTCTTCCTCAGCAGCTTCTAAAAGGGATTCTAAGTCCTTCTCTTTTTCACGGAGCTTCTCTATCTTCTCTTTCACTATAATTAAGGACTGGCGGATAGATGACACTTCTCTAACCTTCTCTTCTTCTTTAATCATGGCATTTGTAAGGCATACCTCAATATCCGACCTTGCATTCTCTTCAACCTTCTCAGATAAATCCGACCGTGTCTTGTTATAGGAAGCAGCAAGCTCAAAAAGGGACTCTAATAGGTTTTTCAAAGGGGAAATATCCACATCATCCCCACCCATTGCCTCAAGGATCACTTTAGTATTCTCTTCAAGCTCAGAGACATTGTCCGCAGTGCTGCCTTTCAGCTTACGCTGAATTGAAGTCCAAAGCTTTAAGATAAACTCCTTTCGAATATCCAAGACAACCTTCTTTCCATCAAAAACTGAAGCTGCAACTGTTGGTCGTTCATGCAAATCAGAGCCCAACTTTGCCCTAATTCCATTAAGAGAAATAGAAGTTGCCTCTTGATCTGCCTTAGCCTTTGAAGATGATTTCTGTGGGTTTGGTCCTGCTACAGACTCACCACTATCTTGTGGCCTTACTCGTTGCAACACAACGTTATTAGCCTAAAAAAAAGGAATAAATAAATAAATATAAGAACACGTTAGAAAAGTCATTTGGCCATGGATAAAAAAAACAATCAAAGTTTATGTTTTCTTTTACCTCCTTGTTCTGAGCTGTTAGTGTTCTTGAAGGGCTATCAACACTTTGAACTTCTATAACCCCTTCTGGGTTTGGCCTTTTCCTTTTCCAATATTGATCTCCTTTGCTGCTATCACTCTCCTCTTGGGACAGGCACTTGTTAGAGGCATCAATGACTACACCAAATGGAATAAGACTTTGGTCAACTGGAGAGTGGATCTCTTCTCTTTGAACTTCTTTGCGTAGCATAGGTCCATTGCCTGCACGCATCCCAACTACTTTAGACTGTAAAGCAGGAAGCTCATCAATTACTAAAACATCTTCGTTGCAGCCTTGAATAGTATCTGTGATTGGCTCAACAGTATTCATCAAAAATTGTAAGTGATCTTCAAGAAGGCTTCCATGCGCCCTTGCCCACCAAGATCTGTAGTTAGATGATGTAAACTTCTTCATGTTGGATCCAAAAGGAGGAAATACTGCCCTTGACTTAGATCTAGTCAACACACAAATCCGTGCAAGTCTTAACCCTTCTTCTAATGAGGCCTCACGAAAATCTTGCTCCAAGCGACCAGGGGTGTCTTGGTAAAAACCAAATTGGCGGCTGAATCGATGAGGGCTGTAAAGTTCAATAATAAAGTTGACTCCATCCCTCAAAGGAAGATAATTCGAGCGAATACTCATAAAGAAATTTAACTCGGACTCATCTGCCTTACCATCGTCATAGTAGTGGTGCAGACCAGATCTGCGCGGCATTGTCGAAGTCCAAATAATGTTTTCTCCATTATGAATACGCTTCCTTGCCTCCTCTTTCCCAAAATATATAGCAGCACCTTCACCAGCTTGTAAACCCCACTTGAATAGGCTTCTTGTACGACATATAACCCATCCCATTTTGTAGTGAACTTCCCTACAGGTTTATGGGAAGTAATTATGGGTCTCCGTACGGCAAGGACTTGATCTCCTACTTGAAAGAATCTCGGACGAACTCTTTTATTGAAGGCGCGAGACAATCGAGCTTGATAACATTCAAGACTCTGTTGAGCTTCCAATCTTTTTTCATCAAGAGCTTCCAACTCTGCTAATTGAAGTCGAGCATTTTCTTCTTCAGTGATCCCTTCTTGAATAGCCAGTCGTAATGAAGGTATTTGACGCTCAAGTGGCAAGACGGCTTCGACTCCATAAACGAGTGAATAAGGAGTCGCCTGTGTTGGCGTGCGGTGAGTCGTCCTGTATGCCCATAGAGCTTCTTCCATACGGTCATTCCAATCTCGTTTGGATTTGGAGACAACTTTCTTTAAAAAGTTACATAGAGTCTTGTTGAATGCCTCAGCTAGACCGTTGGCGGCAACATTGTACATCGAAGAGTTACGTTGCTTAAAGCCAAAGAGGTCACAAATCTTGTTCATCAACC